CAGAACATGAACTGAAGACTCAAATAGCAAAATTATTCAACTTAATTAGGACCGAAGTCAACATGGTCTAGTAGAAGTTCTGAAAGAGGGAGTGATTTCAGAATTTATTCCAACCATGCATACTTTAACTAAATAACTGGGTCAAATTAAAAAATAGAAACTTGTGGTCATTCAATCTCTTCCTATTTTATATGTTGATTATTTTATTATTTTAATTAATTATTTTATATATTAATTAATTTAATCTTATCTTAAAATATGGGCATATGACACAGGAAATATAACATACCAGCTATTCAATAATATTTACCAAATACTATCAGTGTTTCATGGCTGTACTTTATACTGAGAGGGGATTAAGAAACATTTAATTCAATGGCACTAATAAATATTGTTTTATCTACACTTAAAAATTACATATAAATTCCTCAACAAATTAAACAAAGTTACCATATGACCTACAAAATTTTATACAGGAATATTCATAACAGCATTATTCATAGTAGACATGGAGTGGAAATGACTCAAATCTCCATGAAGTGCTGACTGGATGAATAAAATGTGGTATATCCATACAATGGAATATTATTCAGGAATATAAAGGAATGAAGTACTGATACATGCTATGGCAAGGATGATCCTTAAAAAACATTACACCAAGGAAATTTTACTATGATTTTTTTTTTTATATGAAAGTCTAAAATAGGCAAATATATAGAGACAGAAAATAGATTAGTGTTTGTCTAGGGTTGGGGCAGTTTCCAGGAGAATGGAAATGACTGCTAATAGATGTAGGGTTTTCTTTAGGTGTAGAGGAATGTTCTAAATTAGATTGTAGGTTTGGTTGAATAACCCTGTGAATATACTGAAAAACATTGAACTATACAGTTTAAATGGGTCAACTATATATAATATGTATGTAAATTATAGCTCAAGAAAGCAATTTTGAAAAGCTCTCCATGGCTCAGCCTTTTTTTTCAATTTAATTTATCTTGTCTTTTTATGAAGCATAAAGGTATTTCATAAAGATATTTCTTGCATAACACTCATTCACAGCCAAACTGAATTTTTTAAAAAGAAAAAAATGCATATTAACTTGAGATATCAAAGAAACAATTTATCTTGAGTTCATTTTTAATGTTACCTGTGACCTCTGCTACTAAAGTCACTCTACTTCTGTAACCTCTCTTCCTTGTATAGATAAAACATCAATTTAGTTTTGGATTTAAAGCAAACAGAATAATTATGTTTGTAAAGTGTTCCATAGCTTTGCTATTCTAGCAATCTGTGGCCTATAAATAATGCAAGACCTTTTCCTACTCTAAATGACTTTCTTGCAGCATGAATCTTGATACATTGGGGGTGGGGGGCCGGGGGCGGGAAACAAGGAAAGAAAAAAGGGGAAAAAAGAAATCACCCTGCAGTCATGGAATTCAATCTATTTCAAGTTCCCAGTTAAATCATGAATCACATCAGTTCTCTCGTGTAATTGCATCAAAAGTCAACTTTTAGACATGTAGCCAAATTATTTTATTTTTATCAAAGCAAAGGTAAATGACAGCTAATTTGAAACGTTCTTGTGTTTTGCTTTAGAAGTAAGGAAAGCAAAGAAAAGAAAGAAAGAAAAAGATAGGTCTCTATGTGACCCCTGAACTTTGAACCACAACCTCTTTGCCATTAAAGCATTCAGCACCTTAATCTCTCTCTGCACTGGAGTAATGCTGAGAAAAGAAAACGGAAAAAATAATCTGGGGACTTTATCAATTTTTCATGAATTTTCATTTAGGCCAGAACCCCCTCTTACCCTGATCGATAGATCAAGCTGCTGTCATATATTTACCACCTGGGGCTACAGCTGCTATCTCTAGGGGCTGTCACTGACTCAGGCTGCATCATGGGCAGGGACAATCTGTGTGAGGACCCCTGTGCTCCTTCTGTGCCAAACACAGGGAGCATTGGTGTTCAAACTGAAATCCTACCTCTGTCAGCCATGCCTAGACTCTCTTGGTGGTCTCATCTGAAAACTTTGTATTAACTTCTTCAGTGCCAGCTGCCTTGCTGTGGATTCTGCCTTTCTGTCTAAAAACATTTTTTGGTTTGTTTTTTGTTTTTTTTGTCTAAAGACATTTCTTGAGTTCAGTAAATTGAAACGTACTTTCTAGATTCCCCAAGAGAGAATACAAGCAAATATGAAGTAAGTCATTCAAATCTTCATTGCAATGATTGGTCTTGAATATTTTTTTCCTCCACTATATTGTTCCCTTATATAAAACAAGTATATATTAAAGAAAAACAAAGAAGAAAACAAATGCAGTATGGTAAAGAACAGGTGGACTTCTATAAAATTAGTCAAGACAGATGGTTATCAAAAAAATTGCACATATTGCCTGCCTGGCAAATCGAATCTACCTCTATTTAATTCCACAGCTTCAAACTCTATCTGAGAAAGACCTATCTTCTCAATTCTAGAAATTTTTTAAAATATAGAACAGAAAATATTTTCTCCTTGATATATCACTGGTATGGCAAACAATACAGCCAAAGCTGACTTTAGTCTTCAGTTCCCACTACAGTTATTTCTCCTGCATTATTTTATAAGAACACTTGTTGGTTACTAATAGCATTGAAAAATCACAATGTTTTAAAACTTTTCATGAAACACATTAGGGAAGACAGAAGACTGATGAGCTAATGAGAAAAAGAGGCACTGCATGTAAATGAATATCATTTGATTTTGCGTGGCCTCAAATGGCATGAACTGTGACATGGCATTAGAAGAAAAACTTTTATTCATTGGATAAATTCAATTTATAAGACTCCTTGTTTTCCATTCTAGGTCAGAATTATTTTTAGCATTTCTCAAAGCTCATTGATATAAAAATTTAAAAAGCTACTGTTACATTATAGGAAAAAAAGTCATGGTTTAAAATATTCCTCTAAAAATAGTTTGATTCATTACTAATGATTCAATTAGTAATGGAAGCAATCTTTTAGATTAAATAAAAGTACAAGATGCATGTGTGTATATCTGTCTAACAATAAAATGACTGGCCAATTTAAATAAACTTTAACATTGAAAAAAACTAATTAAGGACTAAAAATAGTTATTTGCTGCTAAGTAGATAAGAGAAAAAATTAAAAATTAAAAATTAAAAATTCTGAATTTTTATTTATGTAAAATATGCCAGTGTTTTAGTGTTTTTCCCAAACTGGCACATTTTTTTAAAACTGAAAGTTAGAATCAGGATCTGATCTTGAATTACCTACCCATTAAGTTATTTTCTTGGTCACTTAACAATCATGGGTTTCATTTTATCTATAAAAGGGGAGAATAATGTCTGTTATATTTACTGTAAAGAGATCTGATATGAAAAAAGATCAATGGAATTTAACATTGAAATATTTCAATATGTTTGAAAAGTTCCATAAATAAGACAGTGTAATATAAAAATGGAGCAGTTAGGAATATTTGTATTTTTGAGTTTTTTTTGTATATACTTCAAATCTCACTAAACTACATTTAACTTAACTGTTTTTTAAAGTAAGTTATAAAAATGAAATTACCTGGTGTCCAGTAAAATGGCATCAGTAGCTAAGATTCTAATGCCCATATTTTGAGGTCCTTCACAAAACAGATATGGGTCTTAGGATGCTTCTAATCCATTCCTATTGGGTTTACACATTTCAAGCATTAATGGGTTTCAGGTTTCCCAGTACAAACTATTAATCAAAAGACTGGACACTTTAGAACAAAAGCTTTCACTGGGATAGTTGAATATAAAATATAGTATGATGTTGTTTACTAAAAGATGTTTTCATGTGTAAAGATAATAATTAAAGGTAATGATGTATCACTGAGAATTTCAATACACAAATACACAAGTTTTGTAATCTAGTTTGACAACTTGTCGCATGTGATTATAAGTATCAATTTTAATTATAGACAGGAGACCATGAGTTATTATTTAGTACTTCCTTCTCAGACATATAAGTAAGACTCATGCCTACTAAAATTCCTCAACTCTTTTATCTGTGAAGACTTACTGGTACAACCAAAAAGTTGAAGAAAACTTTTTTAAGGTCCAAATGTTGGCATCTTATTCACAATTAATTCTAGATAAAATTTTTTCTCAAAATAGATAATATCAAAAATGTGTAGTCACCAAATCCTCGCTTATAAACCAGAAAAAAATCTACCATATATTTTTAATTTGTTTTAGAAAACAATCCATGAAGTAATGGAATCAATGTTCAAATAGCTGTGAAGCATTGATATCTTTAGTGCTATTTGGGCTATCTTTATACATACATACATATATATGTTTTAAAATGTTAAAGTCAGGGCACATCTTTAGCTATTGCCGATTATTAAGACTGATAAGACTCTCTTAGGTATGAACATTTTGTTCCTACAAAAACTAGATCTCTTCTCTAATGATTTTAATAATAATATATATATTAATATATATAATATATATAGTTGCCATTCTTCCTAGCATGCCTAAGGCAATAATTGCTAAATTCAATCTAAAAGTACAAAATTAATTTAATAAGAGAGTATATTCTTTTTTTTAAATTGCCTAATAAAAGATATATGTGTGTTATATAAATAGGTAACACAAATCAATACAATATTGAATTTACACTTTGTGTTTGATGCCATGTAACACAAACTTTTCATTTTAACATCATCAACTTTAATACTTGATTATATCTCTCACTTATAATTCAAATTTTAAATATGATCAGCATCATCGCCACCTTGCTTTAATATAATAGCAACAGCTATATTGCTTTAATATAAATAAATTTATTGCAACATCCTGGTTTGACCTTATTTTGACCAGCTTTCTTTGGAAAAGACAAAGTAAAATTATGCAGAGTATGTTGACTGTTTTATTTTTTAGGTATTAACTCTCAGTGGAAAAAAATCACAGCTTACTAGAAATAAACCAAAGTAAATGTGCCTGCCATTCATGAAGTTCATTATGTTCACTTACATGCCACTTCCAGAGATGCATTTCGACTTACTGCTTCACCAAGATAGTTCCTTGCAACGCAAACGTAGCTTCCTTCATCAGGTTTACTTCTGCGCCCGTGTACTATGCGCAAGAAAAATAAGGATCCGCTGGGCAGCAGCATCCTGTGGGACCGGGGATCATCCTTGTCAGTCTCCACCCGCTCGCCATCTTTGTACCACTCAATGGTGGGTGTTGGTCGGCCCTCTGCCTTACAGTTCAAAGTGGTGGGCTCTCCCTTAGAAACAATGACATCTGAAGGGTGCTCCACAATACGCGGGGGAAAGTCCTCCTGGCGAAGACGAGATCCTACAAAACATGACAGAAGGAAGACAAGTTTTTAGTATTTTCTTAACTATAGCTTTGTTTCACTTAAGTTGACATTGGTGAAATTGAACTTCAATTATTCAAAAAGCACCATTATTTTATTTCTGTTTCACTTTTTTAGTCTTTATGCATCTCATAAGTCATCCTTTATGAAATGAGATAATATAGCACTAAATTAATAGGTTAATTCTAAGGAGCTAGATTTAATGTGTCCCATGAATTATGACAAATAAAAGTAAAAGAGAACATGAGATTTTCTTTTGAAGCAAGCATGTTGGAATGAGTAAGGCTAATTCCTGTCCTCAAAGTGCTTACTATACACCTGGGGATAAAGTTGGTAAGTACCTAGAATACACACATAGATATTGCTTATAATGCTGGCATTGTGTTGTCAGATTTCACGTAAAAAGAAATCTGCATATTAGGTACAAATATTAATTCAATTGAACAGATAAGGAAGAAACTTAGGAAATTACATCAGCTGCCCAGGAATGTAGAGGTAATAAGTATTAAAAGCAGGCTTTGTCCAGTTATGTGTGACTGAGGAACTGAAGTATAAATGACTACATTAAAATGAAATAAATGTTGCATGAAGGTCCAAGTAATGCATCATAGGAAGAAAATGGGAAATAAAATGTTAACTCTAACTAAAACATAATAAGAAAAAAGTGGCATTTAAATTGAGTTATAAAGAATAAAATATGTCAATAGAGGGAGAAAGGCATTCAAATTGAAGAAACAATACCAGCGAAAGAACAGAGAGGTGAGAGTACACTCATAGTACATTTCATAATCAGGGAGGAAGTTGATGTGACAGGTGAGGGTAAAAAGGTAGTCTTGGAGCCTGAGAAAAGAGGCTTTAAATACTATTCTAAGGATTGTGACTTTTAGTCTATATGACTAACAGATTTTGAGAGGGCAATGACTTGATCACCTGTGTATTAGAAAGACACTTTTGGCCTGCAGTGTAAAAGATACATAACAACACAGGCAAAAAGATTGTTGAGAATTACTTAAATATCCCAGAGAATAATAAACAGAACATGACCTTGGAAAATGAAGTAGAAGTAGAAAAATGAAGGAAGATACGAAGCATATCACAACACAACACTTGATAGAATTTGGTATATCATCATATAGTAAGGAAAAGTGATAGGTACCAATGACTTCCTTGTGACTACAATGAAAGTAAGGCAACTAAGGGGTATAAAAAATAAGAAGAAAAGGACTTGTTGGTATTTTAAGATAGAGTTTTGCAAGGTTGTTTTGATTTTAATTTATAAATATCAATGGCCATTTTTGTGGAAAGATATTACCAGTTGCTATAAATAAAAAAAGGAGATACTGAGAGAAACAATCACATCTGAGAACATAATGATAATCTACATATGGGCTTTTAAAAGTTCGCTCTTAAAATTTTCCAAACACTCACCTAATATTAGCACATTTCTGCTTCATAAGCATAAGTAATATTTATTCCTCAATATTATTCCAGTTTACTTTCAATATATATTTTAAATGAATATTTTAATTTAACAGAAGTAATTTAATTTGGTATTGAATTTTCTTTCCTGAAGAGAATTAGCTTTCAAAGGTTGCCGATTACCATTTGTTATCTCCTCAGATCCGAGAAAGAAATTAAACATCACAAGTGCTACGTACCTCATGCAAGAAAGTAATTCACAGCACACAGGTCAGAATTTAAAAATGACAGCAACAACAACTACAGAAACCCAAAGCATTTAAATATGGATAGATGATTATATCATGCCTCACAATAATAAACAAAATTATATGTTTTAACTACTGGGCCCCTAAAGCAAATGAGGAATTCACAGAATATAAAAAGTGAGTTATTTTAAAAGTAATAATACAAAATAATCTCAAAGTATTTAAATATAAAGGGCTAATCACAGTTAGAAAATTAGTAACATATCCCACAATATAAAGATCTGGATACACAGCCATAAAATCTAATCCTGAAATGCATCAAGAGTAATATGTCACTTTTCATGTAGCAAGCATGTGGTAGACTACAATCATCTTGTTTAGATGTCCTCCTTGTTCTTTAATCTCCAATTTGCAGGCATCTACATTCTCCCTACTGTCAAAGTTGTTCTATTATTAAAACTAAGCAAGTTGATCACCCATATTTAAGAGTACTATTTAGTATATTGAATATTTCCCTTCCTTATTAAGCACTTGGTCTGGATAAAGCCTGATTAAGACCTTAACTATATTAATACTTATTAAATAATAGACTTATACAGAAAAAAGAGACAAAATATCTAAACTATTTAGCAGTAAGATTTAGAATCTAGCAAGTTCAGTTCAGAGAATTTTACTCATTTATCAGTATAACATATATATATATATATATATATATATATAAACTATTCTAGTGTTCTCATATTTAGATATTCTTCTAGTAACTACTCCCACTATTATAAAAACTTCAAAAGAGCATTTACAATCTAAATGTAAGAGGTAAAACTATCAAAGAATTAGAAGAAATTATAGGAGCAAATTTTCATGACCTTGAGTTAGGGAAAATCTTCTTGGTATGACACTAAAAGCACAAGTGACAAACAAAGTAATAACTATATTGCACTTCATCAAACTTAAATATGTTTGTGCTTGAAAAAAAATGAAAAGGCAACCCAAAGAATCAGAAAAAGATATTTGTAAGTCATAGATCTGATAGGGGACTTATATCTAAATTATACAAATAACTCATAACTCGATAGAAATACAAATAACAAAATTTGAAAATAGGCAAAGGATTTAAATAGACATTTAACCAAAAAAGCTAGATGAATGGCCAGTAAGCATATGAAGAGATGTTCAACATCATTAGCTATTATGGAAAATGCAAATCAAAATCACAATGGGATACACTTCATAACTACCAAGATGGCAATAATCAAAACAAAAATGTAAAATAAGTATTGTCAGGGATGTGGAAAATTTGAGAGCCTCATACATTGCTGGCGGGATATAAACTGGTACAGCCACTTTGGAAAATAATCTGAAATTCCTCAAAAAGTTTTGGAATTAATATATGACTAAGCAATTCTGTTGCTAGGTATATACCCAAGAGGAATGAAATTTTGTGTCCACACAAAAACTTGTATATGAATTTAATGTAATGTTCATAGCAGCATTATTCATGATACCAAAAATAAATGGAAATAACACAATTGTCCATCAACTGATAAATTGATAAATGTATATCTACATAATGTTAATATTATTCAGCAATAACTAGGAATGAAATGCTGATAAACACTACAACATGGATGAAACTTGAAAACACTATGTTAAGTCAAAGAAGCTAGTCACAAAAGACCATGTATTATATGATTCATTTTTTATAAAATTTCCAGAAAAAAAAAAAATCCCTAGAATAGGAAGTAATTTGTGGTTGTCTAGGATGTATGATGTCAATTGGGGGATGAAGAGGGCCTGAGGAATCTTTTCAGGGTAATAAAAATATTCTGAAATTATGGTGATAGTTGCACAACTCTATGAAAATAATAAAAACTACATATTGTACACTTTAAATAAGTAAATTATTTCACTTAGTATGATCGTTACAAGGTCCATCCATGTTGTTGCAAATGGCAGTATTTCATCTCTTCTTATGGCTAAGTAATATTCCATTGTATATATGTACTACAGCTTTTTTAGCCAATCATCTAAGCCAGACAGAAAAAATTGAAAATCACACGATATTACTTATATGTGGAATATAAACCCCAAAGCAGCAAATGAACAGGACAAACAAACAGAGACTCATGGACATGGACTATAGACTAGTGGTTACCAGAAGGTTGAGAGGTGGGGGGAAATGAAGAGAGGCATACGAGGTAAAGGGGGTCAAATATAGGGGAATAGGGAGAGGGTGAAGTGGGTAAAGGGGATCAAATATATGATAGCTGGAGGAAATTGGACTTTGGGTGGCAACCACACAATAGAATATACAGATGTGAAATTATAATGTACACATGAAAATTATATAATTGTATTAACCAATGTTACTTCAATAAACTTAATTAAAAAATAAATGAATTGTGTGGTATATAAATTATATATCAATAAACAAGTTTTTAAAAAGTCATGAGTAAAGGCACTGTGAACAAATGTAATACAAGGAACTGTTAACATTTTGTGTTCACTCATTAACAGGCTATTTCCTTCATTTAAAATTTTAGGTTTTAAATTTAATCATCAGGCCAACAATAGCAATAAAACATAAACTAAACTTGAAAGGTCTTACCAGCTAGATGATAGATGATAGTTAGGAAGATATGCAAAAATTATAGCTATAATCTATAAGCTAAATGTTTAGATGCTGTTAAAAGTCAGGGGATTAATTCTGAGCTCCCTTAAAATCAGACTTTACGTAACTATTGCAGTGACTCTTAAGAAGGATAAGCCTAAATTCTTTGGGTTGCCTTTTCTTTCTTTTTTTTTTTTTGATATGTTTTTTCAAGCACATGTTTAAATTTCATAAAGTGTAAATGTAGTCATTATGGATAAGTCTTTATATTCACTGAAATAGTATACAAAAATGCGTATTCATGTGTGGGCAGGAGGAAGTAGTGGTGGGGTCCGCACAGCTTTTCTCTAATTTCCAAAGAGGTCTGGGCCTTTAAAATTTTGAAGGACCACTAAAATACTAGGTATTGTACATTATTTGACCAAAACTCCCATAATTTGGTAAAAAAAAAAAAAAAAAAGGAAAGCTAAACTCATTGGGAATTCAAATCCCAGCAGTAGAGGGGGCTGTTCATCACAGGAAGTGGCCTGAAACAGCTTGACCTCAAGAGCTTTGATACCCAAAGGCATATTTGAAATAAAGGATCCAGAGCTCCACTCCAGACCTGCAGAATCAGAATGGACATTTTAACAAGCTCCCCCAAGGGAAGCATATGCACATTACAGTTTTCATGCACTGCTGTTACTAGTTTTTGTATAGC